ATCATCAGATTCATCGTCATCGCTGCTCTGTAACGAAGGGATACATCCGTCAGATTTTATTTCTCAAAGTATATGTGATGATTACCTCGTCGCCACTAGAATGGAAAGGTTGAGATGTACCAACTTTTTCGTCACGAAAGTGTTCTTCCGAATCGTGATCTGATAGATCCATTCCTTCCTCTGAATATTCGTCCACGTCAGAATCGTCTCCAGACTGTTCCATGTCATCCTCATCAACATCGTTCTATACGAAATACTCTACATAGCTCACTCCTCATTAACTTTCCTCTCAATTCTCACCGTCAGAAATGAAATATAATAAAGCTGTTGGGTGAAAAGGTGGCCCCTCAGCTTAGATTTCTGAATTCCTCTTTGCACTGTCTTCTACGCTACAGGAACATTGAAAATTTTTGCTTGAGGGGTCGACAAAATTGCGCTTAGTCTCGGCGCTCTGTGCTTGTCTGCATCCTTGAGAGGTCCAGTCACACACTTCTCGACACTTCTAATATACTATTAGTAGAATGTTCTGCTCTCCATTATCAGCGTTAAACAGGCTAATGTACAATATTACTACTACTATAACTACTGTAGGCTAATGTATAATGTAATATGTGTACAATCGAACAAACAATAAGTAAGCATAATCGAAAACAAAGTGGAAAACGTTCGCAGCACATTCAAAACCACCAAGAATGTTACCTCTTCTAAGTCTTCACTTTCTTCGATTGGAACGGAATCTCCCAGTAATGTTAACCTTGCTCCACTGAGTTTTCCATCGATTGTCGTCTTTACGTTCTCCAGAGCTTCTACTAATTCGTGCCGCTTTATCTAAAGCGACATAAGTGATGGATATGCCGAGAACAGGACATTACCAACGTACATTCATGTTCTTATGCGCCTTCGATTGTATGTATATAGCATCTTTATCGTAGACAATTCCTCCAAGACCGGAGAAGGGAGCATAAACCAGGCGTTCCTATAAATGTTTGGAGAAAGGTTATTCAGCACTGAATCACGTCTGTTTTTCATCGGAGTCATACCTGTTGATTCAAAGCTCGTTGTTTCAGCTGTTCAGGAAGTGGGCATGGGTCAGGAATGCTGCTGACCTAAATACAACTACTATGTAAACCTACCAATATATGGTGGATATGATGAACAGAAGAAGAGACGTACGTCTTTGACGCGAAGATCGCCCACACCTGGGATGTGGACGGCGCTGTGATTTTTCAGATGGGCACCGTGCACCCAACCATACAGACAAATTGTTCTGTCGATAGCTGGATTTGTTCTGAGCTCCTATAACATTTTTGAATAAAAAGAATCGACAAAGCACCTCGCACTCACTACTATATAATGTTAAGAACCACCCGAAATGTGAAACTCCAGAAAAATTTAATCAGTGATAGGAACAATTAGAAGAGTAGTTTCGAAGGACCTTTGAAGTTTTTCAATTTCCAAGGACTGGAACACTTTCTATTTGTACGGTTGGTTCAAAGAAACATGTTTGAAAGAAGTTTTAAAAGAATCGCGTCTTCTGGAGAGTAATTTCTGCTACCTAGCTTTAGATAGATGTCAGGCTTTGCGACAAATCACTAGCGAATGACGCGATCAGTCGCAATATTTGACTGCCTTCGCGTAATATTTAGCGCCTCCAGTTATTAGGAGCTTAAAAGTGAGAGCAGGTGACTGTTTGGAACATCACAAAACATTAAATGTCTTATCACCAACCTCGGCGTCAGTAACATCTTCGTAGCGATCACACAGTACGTATGGGTGGGCGTCACGCCAAATAAGTGGACGAAATTTGATGACAGATATGAATCGTACAAGATTGTGCAATTCATTCTTCTTATATTCGTTGTGATACATTCCGGTAAGGTAGAACAACTTCGCGCCCTAAAACAACGTAACTTTGCAGAAAACCAGTGTGTTTTGCTTTCGTTAAATGAAAAATAGAGCCTGAAGTGCTCTGAACGGATGTCTCAGTTCCCTTCCCCGAGATGATTTTAAAGATTTAAAATAAGAAAAATCGAGCAGAATAAGCGAAAAAATAAGCTTACTTCCTCCAAATAGGATCGTGAACATGCAGCAAATGAAAAGTGTGTTTAAGAAAAGAACAGTGAAATTTCAAACAGCCCCGCTTGATGAACACACGAAAATTCTTTGACTCACTTGGTAAATTTCAGTCCAGAATCGATGTTTCATCACTTTCTTCACCTTGTTTACCTTAAAAAACATTGAAACAATACTATTCATATCTAAAATGCGCTACAACTCGGTACAAATTAGAATTTATTATTTATTTATTTATTATAGAATATAGATGATATCCTCACCTTTCCTATCCCTTTCAAACAATCTAAATGATTAAGGATCCCTAATACACGCGGCATTCCATGAACTTGGCAGATATTAAGGAATTCGAAAGTTTCCATTTCAAAACCATACGATGCATCAACCATCAACAATACCTGAAGGAATAGTATTAAGATAAGAATACCATTAATGAATTCATCTTAATCCCTAAAATCGAAGTACCTACCAAATCAGCTATTTTCGCTATATCAATCATATGATTGATGTCGTTTTTTACTTCGATGAATTGAACTCTACGTTTCTTCCCTGTCACAATAGTCACTGGCCCTGTAATAATGGCGAGTTAATAAGAGGCTCCCTACATATCAGCAACTCTAGCAGCAATGCTACAAACCTTTCAACTCTTCAAAACCACTCTTTAGGTAATATTTCACGAGGCCTCGAAGGAGTGTGGTCTTTCCAACCTGGAAATTGCTTTTGAAAACGGAAACAAAATAACCACCGTGACCATAATGATGCCTTGGGAAAGCGAAATTCTTACTTTACTGGGGCCAACAATAGCCACGATGACTGGAGGAGGGATGACAGGTTTCCTGTCCATGAACAAAATATGCTTCTTCCTTTCATTGATATCGGCCGCTCTACAAAGGAAACGATTGAGTTCTCACCTTGATTGATGAAGAAAAGACTCATTGTTCTCTAGCTTGTAAGCTTTCAATTGTGCACTATGTTCTATTCTCAATATGCAATGGTTCTACTTCAACGCTTTTCTGCAGAACTTCATATCCTGTTCTACAATACTTCCCTGTTTTTGTCGGTGGCAACACAACTCAATAAGCCGGGAAGAATATAATAAATTGACCAATGATTTTTTTACATTAAACAGTCCACGGCTGCCCAAGATGGACATTGCACCCCAGAAACTAAAGTGGAGGCGGTAATTGTTTACCCATTAGGAGAGAAAAGGAAACTGCTAATTTTCGAAAGCCATTGTGTAACGTATAAACAAAGGTAACGCCCTTCCTACTGGTTGGACTCTCCCCTTCAACTGGTCGGACTTTGCGGATCCAGCTATTCGCTAGCGAATCGCTGGATACGAGCGTTGCACCAGCGAATCGAGCCGTGTACCAGCGGATCGAACGATGTACCAGCGACTCGACACTGTTTGAAAGTGGCGGGACCCAACGTTCAAAGAAGTCTACTTCGAAGAAAGACACTATTCGAAAGTAGCGGGACTTCCTTTAAAATTGGGTCCCACCACATTCAATCAATGTTGAGCCACTGTTACATCGTTCGATGGTACACAGCTCGATTCGCTGGAACAACGCTGGATTCGCAAAGTTTGACATCGGCCTAAAGAGCCGTTATTAAGAACTGCACAAACTCGCCTATACGAGTAGTATGCAGTGCAGATTTCAGCAGATAAGCAGAAGCGGTTTACGGACTACTTGATTTTTCCTCAATGGTCCTGCCGCGATGGCTAGAGCACAGACGATTAGAGAACGGGTGAATGCCCTAGGACTAAGCCTTGGAGAGGAGAGGGACCCGCGAGAGAGCGCAGAGGCGGTTTAAAGGGCTGAGTTCAAGTAGTCCGTCGACCAGGCAGATGCTTCGCCTCTTCACTGGAAAACCATTTGCCGTATCTTCTTGACTTGGCTCCACAAATCAAAAGTGCCTATGAAACCAAAGTGAAAAGGCTCAGGCAACTCGGATGGTGCCATTGGAACGTAAGCCCTTGTGCGCGGAATTGTCTTCACTTCAGTAAAGATTTACCTGCCACGTGAAGCAGGTAACTAACCTTCTAATCGCTTTGCCAGCGGCAACCGCAGATTTGAAAGTGAAAGCCTTCGCATTGTTGCCTTTCACCTTGCTCTTTTCCTTTATCTTCGTTACTTTTCCTCCGACCTTGTGCACTAAAAAACCAAACAAATTACTTCACAAATGCTGAAAAAATGCAAAGTGAAGACAGTTATATTTTGGCGTCAATGAAAAAAGATTTTTGATCCCCCAAACTTCGTTAGGTCTGTGCACAATCGCGAATGAACTGAACCGTCCGTTGAAGATTTCTATCCCTACTAAACAGAACGGTCAAACCAAACCTCTATGCTCCTTGTTCTTCTGACTCTCGAAAGCTCCAGTTGGAGCCATGACGCTCTCAGCCCTGTAAAAAGAAAATCAGCAACAAGCAAAGAAATATTCAACGTTGAATCGGTAGCAGTAAAGCGACCGAAACGAGGAGGTCGGCGAGGGTTGACGGACTACTTGAACCCGGTCCTTTAAGCCGCCTCAGATCCATCTCTCGTCTGCGCTCTCTCACCTTATCAGCGGCTCATGACCATTGTGATCACACACATTCAAACTTTTGCCACACTGTAGTTGGCTCACCCACCTCGAAGTCCCTCCCTCCTACAAGGCTTAGTCCTAGAGCTCTCACTTCCCTCCCTGGGATTTGGAGCCGAGCCAGGCGCCGTTCTTTAACTGTCTGTGCCCTCCGCCATTCGTGGCAGGACCATAGAAGAGAGTTCAAGTAGTCCGTAAACCGACCGTCGAACGCGAATGAACTTAATCACTGCCTTTCTGTCACAATATAAACTCTTGCCTATATTATAAAATGAGCTCAACAGTCTTCCGAGCCCATAGGAGGCATTATGTGTGGCTTGGACCAACTCTCGCAGAAAAAGGTTTCTTCCGGTGTTAGGTGTAGCCGCGAGAGCTATCTCTACAACTCAAGTGCCAGCCTTGACATCGTCCCCGTGTGCTACCACCTTCCAATACAAGCAATACACAACGTTCCAAAGAGAGCATTTTAAAGTGGCAACATAACGAATCGCATCAGAAACTCGGAGCGGGCAATGGTCTTTTAAGGCCCGTCAATATGTAGTGGATACCACGACCACGATTTGCCAGAGCACAGCAAAATGTCAGAATCGTCAAAATATTTGATTAAGTTTGGCAGGTGCGTTAGTTTAGCATAGATAGCTAATGGTTCAATACCGCAGTCTGTTCTGTTGACGTTTTTTCATCTTTGTAACGCCTTTCAGTAAAGTTAGGACTATGCAAGTAACTAGCTTGTTTTGTTGTCGTCTTTAATGTTTGTGGAGTTTTTGCATCATCTTCGAAAATCCCATTCTGTTGCTTGCGTGGTTTTTTGCTAAAACAAAGTCAAAATCCTGGAGAGAAAGGGTTCGTGCATGGCTGAACCCGCGATTCTAATGAGTTCATCAACTTCGTCCTAATGCTGCTATTGTGAAAATTTGTTTCGTCGTATTGTTCATTTTTGATATTCTCACAGCTTCACTGTGTGGAATGGTAATAGCTGCCATGTTAGACTCTCCATTGAGATAAAGTTTGTTCCAATAAGAGGGGGCATTGCAGTCCCATAGTATGCTCTAATCCCAATTCTGCTCAAGGAGACCTTACTGGTAACGGCCTCATTCTTGCAACATTTACTTAGTTGCTTTTGTGTGTATGATTTCTTTTTCACCGGAAGGTGCGAGGAAGCTTTTGGCAATCAGGAAGTTAGAGCCCTCAGAGGACTCAGCCAGGAAGGAAGAAGAATTCCGTGGAAAATGGGAACAGCTTCCGCACCCCGAAGTCTCTTCTCTCGCCCTTCCAAGCCTTAGTCTTCGAAGTATCTAACAAACGAAAGTCCTTGTCGTGATTTTGAACACCTCGGGCGCTCTGCACCACAACATCCCTACTGTTTGTATAGGACCTGAGAACTTCTCCTTAGGGAACGTGCCTATAACATGCACTAGGTTGAAGGTATCATTGAGAGCTTCCACCATCGGACTTTCTCCGACGCTTCTGAACTACAATTTCGTACTTATTGATCAGTGCCAGTATAATTGAACTTTCCTTGCTTCCCACTAAAACGTGTTCGAACAAATTCAATGAATGCTTTCATTAGAGAAAGTGTGCCTATCATGGATCTGGATGTTAATCTGGATTTAAACGCAAGCTCAACTGATATCGAGATGAAAGTCGCGCCAAGAAGATTTCACATCGACAGGTGCGTAAAAAGTTGATCGGTCCATCCCTATCATGAGTTTTGCTAATTTTTAGCACTTCGTCTCATGCGTCCAACACAGGGATTGAATTCAGTCCTTCAAATTCGTCAATGTCCAGTTCAGGTTCGTGTTTCATGATCTTTTCTAGTTGTTATCTATGAGTTGGAGACCATCAATTATTCATAATCTCTAACTGATTTTGACTATGGGTAACGTATTTGGACCAATAGGTTGTCTTTAGCGATGAGTATTAATCGATCGGACGATTTCAAATTAAATATAAGTCTTAGGGTCTAAGGGCACGTGCGAAACGGAAGTTAGACTATTTCTTTGTTTGTTCCCCCCTAAAGATTTTTTAAAGTTCAGTGTTTTCACACAAATTAACTATTTTTTTTGCGCATAGCTGTGGCTGCAGATAAAAAGTGCAACGATACTTGACGTTGTACTTAATATGACTGAGTACGTCGGAGTGAATGGGCTCCGATAAAAAAGGAACCTAGACGTCAATAACGCTTGATATAACAAGGACCACCACCAATCAAATTGGGACATGGAACAATACTCGAAGGGCTTTCCGCTAGTGATACATTCTAATTGGATCATTATCTGTTTGCCTTCGAGGCAATTTACTGGAATAAAAATTCCTCTAATCTCTTCATAAAACAGGAATTTTTTAATTTTTGCATAGCTCGCACTTTTCCATTACAAACTGAATTGTCGCACTGACTGGCCTTTTTCGTCGCATGTTGTGGTTACGCCCGCTAAGACCGACGTCATAGTCGGCGACGGACCAAGCGATGGAGCGATCGCGATCGCTCCATCGCTTGTCCGTCGCTTGCCAATCGCTCTCGGTCGAGCGATTGGCAAGCGATTGCGCAATGTGCACAAGCGACGGGCGATTGGCCCCGCCCCCAGTCAATGCAGTCGGCTGCGGTATCGATCGAGCAGAGCCATTGCCCGTCGCTTGTGCACTTTGCAAGCGATTGCGCAATCGCTTGCCAATCGCTCGACCGAGAGCGATTGGCAAGCGACGGACAAGCGATGGAGCGATCGCGATCGCTCCATCGCTTGGTCCGTCGCCGACTATGACGTCGGTCTATACGAGTTCTTAAAATATTGTGCAAAAACCTTGCACTCATTCAAACTATTACGATTCTCTGCAGAAATCTCAAAATTTTGAATTTCCTCGAAACTTCGTCTATAAGCGTTAATCGATGCCCTGGTTACGAAAGTGGAACTCATTTTCGGCGTTGGCGTCATCTGGCGCCGGGGCTATTTTCCCAAATTCTTAAAAACTTGTATACTCAGAGGTTATTTAAGTCTGATACGATTGCATATCGTGTTTTGAGCATTTCCACCGTCTACGCACATTTCCCATTCTCCTGGGTCCTCTCACTTGTACATAATACCTAGGACTGAGCCTAGAAGGAGGGAGGACTCCGGGGTGGGTGAACCAGTCAACATGTGGCAAACGTTAAAGCGTATAAGATCACAGGATAAGTGTTATTCACTTCGGAGCACTCTCCTCCTCAAAGGCTTAGTCCCGATCGCGAGGCTGATCAGTGAGAGGGCGCAGACGAGCGGAAAACAGGCGCCCACAGGCGCTAAGCGGAAAAATGAATGTTATATTCGTGATCAGGACCCCAAATAACCCCTATATACAAGTTTACAGCGAATTTGGTGAAAACAGCCCTGGCGCCAAATGGCGCCAAATGGCGCCAGCGCCAAAAATGAATGTCATTTTCGTAATCAGGGCATCGAATTACCCCTATAGGCGAAGTTTCGACGAAAAATAAAATTTTGAGATTTTGGGGTTGTAATAGTTGAATAGTGCCAAAATCTTTGCAGTAATCTCTGTCGAAGCATAACATTTTGATATGAAGGCAAGACCGACCACATGTTCAATGTATAAAGCATCTTTTTTTGAAAATGAGTTTTGAATTTTTGGAATAAAATGCACTTGCTTTTGGCATTGTCCATTGATTTGTACCGTGCATACAACTGCCGTTAGGAATCGTGAAGGTTTGAGTGCTAGTTCGGCCCATAAAATTAGCTTGAGGGCTAATTCTGCAAAGATTAGTGTTCGTCCCAGATATCAATCAATCGCTTCTTCAGCAGTGAAAGGTTAGCTCGGCGAAATTTGATCCGGGTTATTCCCAGTTCCCAACCTTCACCACCCTGAAGCTATTGACGATTTCAATTAACACATTCGAACCACTAAGGAAATCATTTTGGAATTGTGTGGGGTTTTTCTTACTTTTAGCAAGATCTATTGTAATGCAGAGAAACAGATGCAGACAGAAAGCAGTCATGGTAGTGAGTGTCCGATGTTTGTGACCTTCTAGTTGAATGTTTCTGTTCCGACAAATTGGTATGTTAGCTTAGTGGAGAAGCGGGTCTCAAGTTCAAGAATGGTTCTATATGAAAATTGTTGTTAAATGAATGTGTTTCATAGGTCTGACTCAACAAAGGCAATCGTGTGAT